CTCTCTGCTGCACCAGTAACTCTCTCTGCTGCACCAGTAACACCCTCTGCTGCACCAGTAACACTCTCTGCTGCACCAGTAACAGTCTGCTGCACCAGTAACAGTCTGCTGCACCAGTAACACTCTCTGCTGCACCAGTAACACCTCTCTGCTGCACCAGTAACACCCTCTGCTGCACCAGTAACAGTCTGCTGCACCAGTAACAGGGATTAATTAGCTATTAGAGGCAGTCCTTTAATAATGGCTTAATTAGAGGCAGTCCTTTAATAATGGCTTAATTAGAGGCAGTCTTTTAATGGCTTAATTAGAGGCGAGCTTGGGAGTCTGTTCCTCGGGCCGAGGGACAAACCTGACTCTGTCAAACACAGCTCAGATTTTTAACCTCTCCGTGCCCTCCTCTGGCGGTTCCGTGAAGAAACAGCTCGTTGTGAGCCTGGAAGTTTAAAAAAACAACCCCCAAAAAAACAACCCCAAAAGAAAGGAAGAAGAAGACCCAGCCCGGCCTTTGTGGGCTGTTCAAACACCCCCAAAAGTCACCCAGCGGCGCCGAGACGCTCTGGGGGAAGACAAGTCTACAACGAAACTAGAACTCCACCGACAGAACCGGGGGATGTCGACGGGCTGGGGCGGTTGGACGTGCTCCAAAAATAGGAAATAAGATCAGAACCGGCACTGCCACAAACCTCCTGAGAGCAAAGGACTTCTCAGTGCCAAGGGCTCCACCCCCTACACGTGTGGAGCTGCCTTTTCTCATCTTATTTTCTATTCCTAGCGGGGGGATTTTCACTCGTTCAAAGGGCAAAGAAGCCACGAGATCATCGACAGACGACGACGACGACGAGCCCAAACTATCAACGAGAACGAGAGGAACCACAGAGAGGAAACGTCGACGCTTCACAAGTCGGGGGGGGGGGACAAAGCTTGATGAGCCAACCAAAGCAAGCTGCCAGTGAGGGTACAGTACCGTAGGAGGGCACTAAGTCTCTGGGGTCAATGTCTCCACATATCAACACCTGGCCTCCTAAATGAAGAGTAAAATCACAAAAGCTTTCACTTCGAGGCTTGGTGGCTCCCCTTTAGAGCTGCTCGAGGGCCCCGAGTGCTTCACTTACTGTGGTCGATGTAGAAGGTCCGGCCGTCCAGGTGGATTCTTTCCTCCCAGCCGGGCTGGAGAGGGGGAAATCAAAAACCAACAGAAGAGAGAAAATAAGTCAAAGAAGTGTCACGTGCCCACCTCCTGGAACCGTCAGAGGTGCCTGTGAGGGCGGGAAACCCAAATGCCACAGAGCCAGAAATGCAGGCACGCTCAGAGCTGGTGCTGGGCCAGCCTGGACTTCCACCAAATCCAGAGGAGAGAAATGATTTCCCTGCAAGCTTTTCTGGAGAAACTCTCGTTAAATTCTGTGGTCCTTCCTCGCTCAGACCCGGGCTGTTTAACTGAGGTGGAAGCTCTTCCTTCCTGCTCTGTGCCCGGAGCTTTCACACCTTGCTCTCTGCCTTTAAGGATGTAGCATTTCAAAAACAAAGCCAAGCCTCTGACATTAAAATCAGAGTTTTCGCCGCAAAATACCGGAAAAATCAACACTTGTTCGGGTTTCTGAACCCCCAGAACGTGCTGGTGCACCGACAGAGCTTTTGCTTGGAACGATCTGCTCCGTTTTTTCCCATCAGCAAAAAGCAGAGAGTCCCCCAAGGCCCGGGCGGGTGCCTGGAAGCTCGGGGAGCACAGGAAGAGGCCGGGAGTTTGCCGGGAGTTTTCCGAGCGCCCCGGGCTGGTCCCAGCTCCCAGCAAGGCCCCAGTGTGCCCGTGCCAGGGGCAGAGGAGAGCCCGGGGCAGCGGGTGGAGGGCCCGGCCCGGCGTCACTTACAGGAAGAGGGCCCAGGTCATTGGGGTTCAGGGACGCTTTGGATCTCAGATGCACCGGAAACTTCAGCCGCGGGTCCTCCTGGAGCACAAACACGGAACCGAAGAGCCCACAGGGTCAAGGCAGGTCTACCAACTCCTTTTTGGCTCTTACAAACACCACTAAGGGGGGGGAAGGGGGTTGAGAGCAGGGTGGGCGGCCCTTACCCAGGTGGTGGTCTTGGTGTTGTGGTCGATGAAGAAGGGGCGGCCGTTCGGGGCGATGCGCATCTCCCAGCCCGGGGGCAGGAAGCTCTGGGCCCCCTTGTGCTGGGGCTTGGGCGAGTTGTAGGGGGACGGCTGCGGGCTCTGGGGGTTGGAGAGGGTGTCCTTCACCGCCCGGCGCACCGGCGAGTCCTTCACGCCCTGCGGGGCGGCAAACAACCAAAACTCACCAAAACCAACCCCAGCCGAGTCTTAAAAAAAGCAATCAAACACCCTTTTGGGAAAGGCAAGGAATTCCAAGTGGCACAGCTAAAAAAGGGGAAACGAGAGCTGCAGGGGCGTCCTCACCTCCAGCGGGGCCGACAGGGTGACGGTGGGGGAGCTGAGGCTGCGGGGCCGCCGGATCTGCGGCTCGCTCAGGTGGTTGCCGCTGCCGCTGCCGCTGGTGCCCGGGGCCACCATCCCGTCCTCGGCGAGCTGAGGGGGGCAGAGCCAAGTCACAAAGGGCACGGCCACGGCCAGGGCCCTTTAAAAGCCACGATCATTCTTAAACATAATTTCCTGAAGATAATTTAACGTCATTTAATTTAAGACACGGTCCTGCTCTATTAACGGAGCGGGTTCAACGTTCAAATTCAACCCTAAGAACGCGTCTGCCTCCTTTTAGGAGTTCCCTCCACCCCTCTCTGGAAGCTCCTTCCCTCCCAGCTCGACCGGTGCCGTAAGAAAAACCATCTCCATCCGATCCACCCGACGGTACTCAGGGTTTGCCCTTCCAGCTCCAGAGGCTCCCGGAGGCTGTCGGAACCGGAGCCGACCCCGAGCCGACGGGTCTGCTCCCTCACCTGCACGATGGGCCGCGTCCACGTCGTGGTGCGGTTGTTGTGGTTCACGTAGTAGGTCCTGCCCTTGGCGTCCTTCCGCTCCTCCCAGCCCGAGGGCAGCCCGGGGGTGGTGTGCACGTAGGCCACGGAGGGCTGCCGGGGCGAGAAAACCACTCCGCTCTTATTTCACATCCCCTGACCAGTTCCATCGTTATTTTAGAACAGCTAAAAACGTCTCAAAATCCGGCATCTTTCGAAAAAAAAGCAACTTGTTAACTTGCATCCCAACAACCATTTCTGATTTCGTTTCATACAAAGCTCTTTGGGGTTCATACAAAGCTCTTTGGGGCAGGTTATTTTTTATTTTGACTCCCGAGAGATCCTTCGGATCAGTCCGACCCGGACGCGGGTCCCTCGCTCGGCAAACAGCCCCTCGAGCTTTTGAACAAAAAGGAGCTCCGGGTTTTAACGAGTTTGGCTCAGAAAGGTGGATTTTTATATTTCTTTTTTTTTTGTCCCTTTTATCAGTTTGGATAAGTAAGAGTCAAATAACCCTGCAGCCAAGAGAATGGAAAATTAAGGGCCGAGGACATTAAGTACAAGCTCTGAGAGGGACTCCTTCCTTTCCTAAAGATCCAAGGGCTCTTTTCCCACCAGGAGAACACCTTTGCCATGGCTGTCCTGCTGGATTCATATCCCACACCACCTTTAAATGAACTTTTTTTTGCCCCTGAAACAACTTCTCTGGGAGGGGATCTCTTTATTATTTAGGGAGAAAGGGCTTTATTACCGTTGGCTCCTCTCCACCTGTGACAGTTGAAGAACGAGCTCTCCTAGAGGGACCACCCTGCTGTTGAAGGATAATGAAGGGCACACAGATTTACTGAGCAAGGCCCCAGGTTTCAGGAGCAAGGAAATCACAGAATAATCACATTTATGAAGAGTGATCAGCTGGAAAAAATATTTAAGGTAACAGCAGAAGTAAAAGCCATCAGTGGTCGGGAACCAGAATCTCCAAGTGCTGCGTTCAGGAGGAAAGAATTGCACTTAGGTGCCACAAGAGAAACCATCACTGGCTCGAGAAGGATTAAATCTGGTTAAGATCAGGTCAGGGGATGTTTTAGAGCAGTATTTCGGGGAAGATTAGGCCCGGGTTTGCCGCTGGCGGATTCACAGCTGACACAAAACGGGAGGAAAAAAACCCCCCTGAGAAAAGTCGGATTTTTTTCAAATGTCCTCTCGCAACCGGCCCCGGTTTCGTTCGCGGGCACCCCCTCGTCGGCGAAGGGAGCTTTGGGCTTACCAGGGACAACTGAGACTGCTCGGCCACCGCGTCCGTGACGCTGCACGACCTCAGCCGCGAAGAAGGTTCCCTTTGCTGGCAGGGAAACAAAAGAAAGGTGTCTTGAAGTCAACAACAACTCCCCGTGCTGCTGTTTTACCTCAGGGTGACTCAGATCATCCCGAACAACAGCGCATTCGAGCGGCAGAGGTGGCAGGAGGGGCAGCCCGGGACGTACCATCAAAGAGCCGAGTTGCTCCCCGTTGGACTCGGGAGCGACCTGGAGTCTCCTGCTCAGCTCCTCCGACAGCTCCTGAGGGCTGGTCCGGGACACGGGGGAGGCGGGAGGGGGGGGCAGCGCCAAGCTCAAGGGATCTCCGCCGGCGCTCGCCTCCTCGGAGATGGTCTCCCAAGGCTAACGGAACAGAAGAAATGAAGTTAAGGATTTCTGCAGGGCCTTTTGTGTCGTAGCAGCCGGAGGCTCGGCGCCCACCTCGGGAACGTCCCCGCTCTCCGCGGGCTCCGGCTCCAGGTCCTCGCTGATGTGCCGCCGCGAGCGGAAGCGCCGGTGAGCGGCCTCCTGGTTGATCTGCCTGATGTTGTTGTCGGAGTCCGAGCCCACGTCGCTGCGGGGGGGGGAGACAAGAACACGAAAATAACCCGAATTAACCCGAATTAAACTCAACCCCTGCTTTGTCCGTCGCCTTCGAAACCTTGGAACCGCTTGGGACTATAAAAATCATTATTCAGGCACGTGTCGGGCTCGACAGAAAGTGCCCAGGGCTGGAGAATCCAGCACTTCCTTGGCCATGGTTTGGAGGTCAGTTCTGTCTAAATCCAGTCCTGACAGCTTGCAGAGGAAAATCCTGTCAGCACATCCAGGGAATGCAGCCTGGACACTGAGGAATAACCAGGATCTCCCTCCAAGCTCATCCCTCCGACCTCACCAAAACTTAACGGAGTTGACTTTTTTCCCCTCCCCTTTTCTACAGAACAAAGTCATTTATCCTGAAAAATTCCACCTCTGTCTCCCCACATTCTGACTCCCCTCCCGCCCCTTCAGATTTCCCGGCGCTTCCCAAAACACCCCCCGTCTCTCTGGGATTCCCCAGGGGCGGAGGAGCCTTTCGGGCGTAAAAACTTTTGCCCGCGGGCCCCCAGGAGTTCTCCCCCCGCCCCCGGGGCTGCCGCTCACATGAGGCTGGGCCGGTGCCACTGGGTGGTCCTGTTGTTGTGGTTGACGTAGTAGGTGCGGCCCAGGTTGTCCACCTTCTCCTCCCACCCCGGGGGCAGCGGAGGGGGCGGCAGCTCCTCCTGCCGCTGCGACGCGGCGTCGCCGGAATCCACCACGTCCCAGCCGTGCTGAGGGACGAAGGGGGGAAAAAAAACCTCCTTTCACCGAGAGAAACCAACTCAAACCCCCGCTGGCCATCAAGGAGGGTGGCTGGGCGCCAAGGGGAACCAACTGCTCCCAGGCCTTTACCCTCCGAGGTCCAGCTGCTCCCCACAGTTGGCCTTGAACCTCCGGCAACCGGAGCGTCCGGCCTCACCTCGGAGTCGTCCCTCTGCTCGCTGCTCTCCTCCTCCTGGCCCCCGTTTTTGGGCAGGTAAGCCATCTTCAGCCTCAGGAAGCCCTTCACGCGGGACTTGTGGCTGCAAAGGCGAGGAGTCACCTTTTACGTCGCGTTTAACGACCCCCCCAGAGAGAAAAAAAAAAACCCAGCGGGATTTCTTCTCCCAGGAAATCTTTTCCCCCCCCTCACCTTCTCGGCCTGAGGAGGAAATCCTTAAACGTGTAGGGCCTCTCCATGGTCGGGTCTTCGGTCTGGGAGCAGCGGGGAAAAAAGGCAAATTAAAGGGTTTGCTCGCAAGCGCGGCCACAGAAAGAACATCCACAGGTTATGTCGCTGATTGCCATCGAACCCCAAGTCTCACAAAGCCTGGGATCCTGAAAACTTCCCATTCCACAAGAATTTCAGCTTTCTTATCATTTCTGCAAGCTCACAGAGGTTCGGATCGACGCGTCCAACGTTAAAAATGCTAATTAAACACAGGCTCTGTTAATCACCCAAACCAGTACATGACATCAGAAATGTTTGTACCAGGGCTAAAACAATCCCTGCATATAAATATATATATTTTTCCTTGTATTTATAGGCATCTAGACATAGAAATTGCACTTAATTTTGGGATTTTGTGGGCCGGGCAGAATCCTGGCCGCTGGAAGGCGACCAGGCAAGTGGGGCTTCAGGGACTCAATTTATCAACAGAAACACAAACAAACATTACCTCAACAAACCGACAACAGAACGATTCCAAGCCCTACACCTCAATTGCTTTTAATTACTTCCTATTAGAGCTCTGGCTGCTGGCAGGGAATTCAATTTTGAGCTCAAATAATGAAGAGCTGCAGCAGATCTGCCACAAGGAAGCTTTTTTTTTTTTTCCCCCTCCCCCCAAAAAAAAAAAGAAGCTGTTCCTCTGCTTACCGGGAGGTGGCTGAGCGGCACATCCACCTGGCCCAGGAAGTCGTCTCTGGTCTGGCACGGGGGAGAGAGAGAGAAAAAAAGGCAGGAAAAGGAGGAACTTTACATCAGAAAAGCCAAAAAAAAAACCCACATAAACTCAAACAGTCTCCGACCCCTTTATTGCTGCCCGTTCTCTGTTGTTGTAAGTCGGTGACACCAGAGCAGCCCCGGTGATTCCCAAATAACCTGCTCCCTATTTGGAATTCCAGGAAGTGCCCGCGGCCGCCCCGGAGCCAAGTTTACATATTTCTCATAGCAGGGCGTTAAGTTTGAACGTTAAAATTCGGATTTTTACGGGGTAACATCGTACCAAAAACGCTCTGACCAATTCAGTTTTTAAGGGTAGATAGGAAACTGAAATTAAACCTGGTTTTCACTTTAGAGTGGTACAGGAGAAAAGGAAGAGGGACTGTCCCCAATCCCCAAAATTCACAAAGGGAACTGAAAAATCTCACTCAGCAAGACCTGAATTCCAAGGTCACTCCTGTGGCAGTGCCTGAAATCCTTCTTTTCCCACCTAGCTGTGGGTGACAACACCTCAACCCCCGGTCACGACACCTGTTCAATATTTAAAAGGGGGCGTTTTTCACTGCTGTTCCAATGTGAATAAAAGCCTCTCTCCTGGCGCACCGGGGACAACCCCAACCGGATCCAAAACCCCGCTGGAAGAACCCCAAAGGCCGCTTTTCTCTGCCCCCTCCCCTGCCTTCGAGCAGGTATTTCTCAGGTGGGTCATTCGAATTTTATTTTTCTGCCCAGAGCTGCCACCATCGGGTGTCTCACACCAGCTCAGGCCAAGAGGCTTTTAGACTTTGCCCGAGCTTGCACTGAAACGCTGAAGGATAATTTATTTTTCATCAAACGCGCCGGTTTGTGCCCTCAAGTAGAAAACCAGAATTTTTACACTGAAGGGGTCGGCTTTCCAGAGCCAGAGGTGCCATTTCTGCTCGTTAGCTGAATTATGATTCGCTCCTACTCCTGTTTCGTTAGGGCTGTGCTGGGCTCGCGACAAAGCTGCCTTTGTCGGCCTCTCCCCCGCCAGTTGTCCGGTGGTGTCATTTCTGAAGCGTTTCCCAGTCCCCCCACCAGTCCAGCTCTGCGCTCCCAGCGAGAACCAGTGGGACGTGCACAGGACACAGACATATAAGACATCAGGCCGGGCCAAACAATCTGCAAATACTTCTCACAATCAGACACGATATTTTTACTCAATATTTCACCCTGGCTGGTAATGAAACACATCCTGCCCCCCCCGCCCCAGCACTTTTTTGCTCTTTGTAAATCAGAGCCGAGGGACCCTCCGTGGTTTTCCGCTCACGGCGCCCACCCAAGAGCTCAAAGGAATAACCCGGAGCTGCAGAGTCATCCCTGGCCCTGTTGCAGGAGCAGCTGCCCCCGGGCTGCGTTTCGGTGCCCGGGGGGCCCTCGGGGCCCGTCCCCACGGCTGGAGCCCGCAGGGCTACACCCAGCGTCCCCCGGCGAGCCGGGGGAACTCGAGTGGGCCGGCTTGGATCGCACGGGCAGAGCGATTTAGGCGAATGACTAATCTAAAGCCCTCGCTTGAATTTCTACTTCGGGCTTTCAAAAAGCGGCTGAGAAACATCAACACCGTTAATCCTCGAAGCAACCCCAGAACATTGATTTTTGCCACCTCGCCGCCAAGCCGCTCGGACTCGGGTCAGGACTCGGGGCACACGAACCCAGGACGAGCTGTTTTCGGTCCCAGAAGGAGAAAAATCAAATGGCTGCCGCAGAGATGAATTTTTCACCTGGCTTCCTGCCAGCATTTCCATCGGAATTCTCCTCAGATCCCCGTGGTCTTGGCTACCATTGCCCTACAAATCGTGTTTGAGAAGGTGCCAAAAGATTTGTTTTTAAAACCAGGGTGCGCCAAGGCCTCGGCCGCCTCGACACGGCCGCCTAATTTGCCATTTGGAACGCTCCGATTTTTAAAAATCTTTCCGGCTGACGCAACGGCGAACCGAGAAACGCGTGACGGCGGGACCCGAAAATACCGCGCGGGATGGGACCGCAGCCGAGAGCAAAGTTACGCTCGGTTAGAAACAGAGACCATTCGGGGCTCGGTCCCCACCGAGGCAGAACGTTCCAGCACCGGCCGTGGCAGTGCCGTGCTGTGTTCGCCTCCCCTCGCTGCACACCCGGGACTTACCGCGGCGCCGGCGGCGCTGGGACCGTCCGCGCCGACCCCCTGGCTCTGCTCTTCGGGCCCGCGGGTGACGAGGATCCTGAAGCGCTGCTGCCTCGTGCTTTGATCCGGCCTGATTTTAAACAAGCAGCCCTGCCCTTGAGGAATCCGCTCGACCGAGTCGCTCCCCGATATTTCTGACCCGGTCCGGCCGTTTCCCGGCGGCTCCGAACCCAGCCCGTCGGCTGCGGGGCCGATTCCTTCTGCCGGCGGCTGGACGGGGTAGGAACTGCTCCTTTCCAGCCGTATCCGAGGGTACCTGACCAATCTGTCCCCCTTCGTCCCAGTGAACCCGAAGTTACAGCCGCCCCCCGCGCCCGCCCCGCTCGCCTGCGGCTGCTGTAACTGGAGAACAAAGAGCTTCTTCCCCGAATTCGCTGACGGATCCGGCACATGCTGCAAGGACCAGCGCCGGGGCTCGGGGGGGGCGGCGTTATCCGGAGCCTCCGAACCCAAGGGAAGGAGAGTAACTTGAGGCACATCCGCACTGGAGGCCCGATGCTGAATCCTCACCCCGCTTACGTTCAGACCCGAAGGCGCCTCCTCGTTCGCCTCCTCTCGCTGGGCAGCGGCCGGAGCCTCCTTGCTCTGGCTGTTGGAGGGAACGGCACAGAACACCCGGCGATTACAGCAAACAGTCCCGTTTGCCTGCTGGCCCGACCCCGCCGGAGAGCTGTCGGGAGCCCCCCGTGGCCCGCCCGGGGCGGCGGAGTGGTTCTCCGGAGGGGCGGCGCAGCAGCGCTCCCCGAGGGGCGAGGGCTGGCGGGGCCCGGCGTCCTCGGCCTCGCCGGCGCCTTTGCGCTGCAGCGAGATCTGCACGGAGGAGCTGCGCGTGGGCCGCCCCTCGGCGCCGCCCAGCAGCTGCGGGATGAACATGGACGTGCTCCTCTTCAGCGAGCCCACCTCCGGCGGGTCGCCGGCGCCGCCGCGCCGGGAGGAGGCGTGAGGGCTGCTCCGTCTCGGCAGCGTGTGGAACGCCAGGAAAAAGTCGTCCTCCCCCTTCTCCCGCTCGAGGATCTCCGAGTCGGGGGCCGTGTTGCTTCTGCCGGCGCCAAAATGAAACCGCAGCCGGTGGGCCATGGTTCGCGACGGAGAGGAGAGAGGGAGAACGGCAACGACTCGGGCGCTGCCAGGAGTTAAAAAGCAGAGGCATCAACCCGGAGGAAAAGCGGCCCATCTGCCAACCGGTGAGCGCTGCGGCCCCGGGAGCGCCAGATAGCAGAAATAGCCCAAGTGGCAAGCGGCATTCCAGGCATGATTGGGCAGGAGCAGTCGGCGCTCCTACACACGGGGACATAGGGTAGGACGGCGGCGGTCACGTGGCCTGGTTCCCCCTCTCCACTGCAAGGGGGGGGTGGGTTTGTTTTTTCCTTTTTTTTTTTTA